CCCTGAAACACCTCAGTTTTCAGAGTCTAAAGAAGAGAAGTACCAGATCTTATTGTCCTTCACCTGAGGAGGTTGCAAACAGTTTGTCTTACAGGCTATTGAAAGTTTTACCCTGAAGCCTGGGGCTGACACCCCTGTGGCTTTGGAAGCTCTTACTGAATATAGACTCAGGTGCTTTCCATTTAAAACTTTCTGGTTGGTCCATAAGATACCTTTGTGTGTTTTACCTCAAATGAGGGCCTGTCAGGCATTGGGGGGGGCAGTAAATAACAATTTCCTTTCTTACTGCTGCCCACCTGGGATCATGAGTTGCCATATTCTGAACAAGGTTATTTTCTTTCTCTCTTTGGTTTGCTGAATTATACTTGCCCTGAAGACAGCTCTAAGATACATATCTACCTTTGGAAATGATGCCCTTGCAGTCTCTGACGTTCATTTTCACATTGCCCACAGCTGTTTTCAGGAACCCTGTCATTTTTCTAGGACTGGAGCATTAGGAGCATGCAGCACAGTGTCTCCACTCTAAGTTGTTTACAAGACCATTTTACTGTCTCTCCCCTTTCAGACTAGTGCTCGTTGTGGGTTCATCTCTCTCCTCATTTCAGGAGGCATTATTACCTTCTTTATGGAAGAGAAATACTTTTAAATGTGAAACTTGGCTGTTAGAGAATGGCAACTGGGTTGTGGCCTCTGCGGTGTCTGGGCACCTAAAGAGCACTTCCCTTCCTTGTGGGGGAGGACACCCAGTGCCTGCTCCAAAACCAGCAGTTCCTAATCAAGCAAGGACCAAGCTTCCACCTGATGTTAACCCTGCAGCTCCAGTGAGACAGTTCAATAAATTGCTTCTAATGCTGTGTCTATTTACTAGGAAATTAATTATGTTTCTTTTTTTCTAACTGGTTTTATTTTAGGGGTGGTAAGTTGTTGCTTTGCCATAGGAGGGAAAAAAAAATCAAAAGAAGAGGCACATGATTTCTGCTTCTTCTGAAATCAAGGTTTTGTTATGCTGAATAGCTGCAAACTATTTGCATTACAATGTACTGTAAATAAGAGATGCCACCAACTGGAGTATAAACTGAGCAAAATGTGGGGAGCTCTCAGCACAACTGAATTTAAATGGTGTGAGCTGAGGTTGGACAGAACTCCAAGGTGCTGGGTTTTGGGTCTCAGATAAACCCTGTGGTCAGCAAAAGTCCTTACCTTAAGACACCAGAATGATCTTAATTTTCAATATAGGTAATGTAATGTGCGTGGTATAGGTGCCAAAACTGTCAGGCAAAGAGGATGGGAGGGAATATGAAACCCTGTAGAACAGGATTAGGCAGGATTAAAGTCTAAAATGATCATGCTGCACTGGGTAGCTGATATTGCCACAGCCAACTCAGTAAAACTCAGTGGGACACTTGACATTGCACATTTTCAAGCAGCAAGCTTAAATCTATATTCATGTGGAATCTTCTGCACTCAGTCTGGTGGGAACAGGAACATGACACAGCTTCAGGTGCTGGCTTAGGGGAAGAAAGCACAGGCTGCTGCCTTGCAGGGACACATCTCTGCTAGGAAAATGAAAAGCAACTGAATGATGTATGTAATTATGTTTGTTTGCAGGGTGATGCAATTTCTGCAAACCCACTGAGAATCCCTTAAACCTGAGATTAAAACCAGCTATAGATACATATTTTAACAACAGTTGTCTATATGTAATTATATGTACATACATAGCAGTTGGTGTAATGGTGTAATAGCTGCCAGTTCAACAGTCCAAAGCACATAAACATTTACCTTTATAAATTAAACCACATACTTAAGTGCTTTGCTGGACAGGGAAGATTTTTGCCTAAATGTTGAGCTGAGTCAGGTAGGAATGAATTTGAGTTCTTTCCATCTCACTGTTGGTATCCAGCTTCTCACCTTAGAGCTGAGCAGTGTCAAAAAGGAGCTCCAGAGATGCATTCTGGCACCAGCACTGTGTGTCACCAGCTCTGTGTCCGTGGTGCCTGTGCTGCTGGAGCTTCAGCATGTGGGAGGATGAGGATGCAGGATCTTTGTGGCAGAGCTGGTTGCAGTCTGGAGCTCTTGACCTGCTGCTCTTCAGGCTTTGCATCAAACAGATCTTTGAACTGTTGCAGACTCCAACCCTGCCAGCCCCTAACCATGAGGTAACCGTTTGCTAGGCCCAATATGAGTCATAGATGGGGAGGATATTTCTGGTTTCCAATTAAAAAGAAAGAAATGGCGAAGCTCATAATCATGAGCAAAAGGTCTCTGTGCAGTAATGGGAACCAGCTGGTGTGGCAGGCCATTGCAGGCTCAAATCTGTCTTTGTTCAAAACGTGGCCCCACCATTATCACGGTTGGAAACAGTCCTTGGTGCTGACACAGTAATGACAGCTTCATGTTTTAGACACATCTAATGGCACTAAGTCCTGATCTTAGCTGGCATTTATCAAGATAAGTAAGCCAGTCAGGCAAGAGCATGGTGGGCTGACTGTGCTCCTTTTGATAACAACGTGCGTGTTTCCTCTCTTGAAAGAATAATGAACAGAATATGACTGTCAAAATATTTCTCTCTGGAGAGATTCCAAAATAACTGACACTTACATGAGCTCAGTGCCATCAGCACTGTGAGCTTCCTCACAAACCTGGGAGAAGTGGAGCTGTGACCAAGAGATGTGAGGATTTTTATCCTTAAAGCCTGGAGAATTGTTTTCTCACAATCCCCTGTAGTTCTCACTTGCAATTGGACCTCTCTTGGGAACACTTTCACAGTGGGACACTGAATGAGATGGTCCTTTCAAAGGACTATCCTGGTGATTTCAATGAGGTTGGTTCTCATGTAGCATTGTCTTACACTTGCTGTATCTGGAATTTTCACTAGAATTAGCCAGTCCAGCAGAGAATCAAGCCCTGCAAGTTCAACTTCATAATTTTGGGATTTTCCTTCCTAATCTGACTGGGAAATAGCTCAGCTAACGACTTGTCTGCAGAACAGAGTGCATGCACAGACTCATGCAGAGCTTAATGTGCTTGTCTGGTGCAGACAAGCCCCCTCTTCAGCTCTTGCCTTTGAGAATTCTGGGAGCACATCTTGCCAGCCAAGAGCCTGCTTCTAGGAGCAGTGGCTGTTTTGGGGATGATCCATTAAAAAGGCATGGCTGGGAATCTGAAAGGCATTACTGAGAGTGAGTGTCTAACCAAGAGAGGAGCGTGGTGGGGGTGTTGGGGGTCAGCTGGTGCTGTGTTGAGCTCAGAGAGGAGCGATGGCCCGTGCTCTCAGGATCTCTGCCACCGTGATGGAGCTGTGTGTGGTAACAGCAGAGTAAGTGCCAGCAATGCTGCAGCACAGCTCAGGCCTGGGATGTGGGCACACAGGGCTCTCCCTGCACAACAGGTCAGGTCATGCTGCCGATTAAACATGTCCTGCCACGCTGTCATAGCGCTCTCCAGCCTGGGCAGCAGCGAATTAGGAGCCCAGGGTTTGCAAGACTGGATTAAGGTGAGTTTATTCACTTTTAATTCTTTCAGATGTAGATTTGTCCCTGTTAAGCTGTGATGAATTTATGTTTTGCTGTCAGCAAAGGCTGACACTCATGCTGATGGAGCAGCTCTTGTATTTTTGCTGACCTCTGTTCCATGCTGTTCACTGTAGTTTCCATGAATTTTCTATATGGGCAGCCAAGAAAGTGTCTTGTAACTGGGGTTACAGGGTGTGTGTTTGTGTGTGCCTGTCAACTTTTCAGTTGCCAAAATCCCCCTTTTCTTGAGTGTTTCAGGGTTGTCTGGGGGATGCTAAAAAAGACCAGGACAACAGTAAAATAATATACGTTAGGTTTTTTATAGCTTGCTCAGGTCCCTGATTGATTTTTCACACCTTTATTTCCACAGCAATAAGGTTTTACATACTGAGATGTGGGGAGGAAATAATAATAAAAAAAATATTCACAGGATGTTGAATGTGTTTCAAAAGCTGAGCCTAAGTGTCTGTCCTTCAAAGGCTCTCACCCTGGGGATGGGTAAACTAACTAGATGAGAGGTGGAAAGTTTGCACATTCTCAAGTAAGGGATCACTTAATTTTCTCAAAGATGAGGTAATTTGGGTGAGTTCCCTGATAAACCCAGCTCACACCAGCAGCAGAGCTTGGCCATGCCTTGCTGTTCCATCAGCTCAAACACCAGTTGCTGCAGCACTCCCTGAATTGTCATTTCCCATTATTCCTGTGCCCTGGCAGGGCTGAGATAAGAGGCTAATGGGGGGGAGGGAGAAAGGATGTGGAGATGTGGGTTCAGTCCTGGTGCTCCTGCTGCCCAGCTCAGCCAGCTCCAGCTGTGCTGCTCTGCACTGACCACTCCAGCTGGAAACCCTCCCAGCAGAATGGAAGAGAGCAGCTGATGGGACACAAGTGACAGCTGTCACCCAGAACCCACCCCAGGAATTGTCCTTACAAGTTAAATTTCAGAGATCTGCCAAGCCTTGATGAAGTTTAATGGGCTGTGGGAGGTTTTGTCATTTGCATAGAGACATTGTTATTGGGGATATTTCCTTCCATTTCTCACACAGCCTGTTGGAAGACTGGAGTCCAGCCTGGCTCTCTCAGAGCTTCTGAGTAAACAAACAAGCATGCATCCTACTTAAAAAAAACAGACTGGCAATTAAAAAAGACATCTTGCGTTGTGCAAACAGGAAGGGCTGTAAAACACACTTTGCAGGGAGTCAGTGGAAATGCATTCAGTCTGGTTTATAATCACAGCACAATGAAATACCCAGAACATAAATAGCAGGAAATCAATTTTCCTTAGAAAAAGTAAAATAAAGAACATTAAATGATCATTTGACTAGATAACTGTGGTTTACTTGGTGGTATAACTGTCATCTTGCCTGTGTACAATAATGGAATTAATGCAGAGGGGGTATGGTTTAGATGTCCCCTTCTTTACAGTGACAATAACTCCCTTGTTTTCTCTAGTGAGTAGATGTTTATATTCTAATTTTGTCTCTGCAGGCTACACAGAGCCTTAAACTTGCAAAAGGGATTTGTGAGCAGCCTGCTTGTCAAGAACAAATACTAGTCAAAAGAAATGTGTGACTTATTGACCTTGGGTTCACTGAACCTTCATCTTGATGCTTCCGTACCACTAAGGAATCGGCTTCTCTGAAAATTAAAGTTCCCAGATTAGAATAGAAGCTTCAACAAAGGACCTGTGTGGCTTTGCAAATACACATCGATTAGAGGACTTTGGAAGAGCTTTGTTAGAAAAGTGGAATTATGAAAAGCAAATGTTTGAGAGGTAAGAAACTGATTGAGGTCAAAGTTGATGAAAACCAGACTTTTGAAAATATAGAATTTCTTATTTGCATTTTGGCTAAAAATCTTTACTCTTTGTCCTTACCTGTTACGTTATTCATTTGGAGATTCAGTGACAGTGTCAGGCTGCTCTATTCATCTTGTCAAGGTGGTGATGTGCTGTGGGGAGAGGTGATGACTTTCAGGAAGACTCTTTTGGTGAATGCCCAATATTTGTTTTGTGTTATCTGATTCAAATTAGTTTGTTGCATCTTCCAAGTTTTTATAAGTTTACAGAAATATTTCAAATTCCAACTCTTAATGTTTGTGTTTAATAACTATGAAGTCATTACTTTTTTTTTTCTCATGTTCCTAAAGAAACATCTCTCAAGAAATCAGCCCAAAGATTTCTATGCAATGTGTTAGGGTGCTAGTCTTGGTGCTCAAACTTTTTGAAGGTTCAGAACTGCACCTCTTTCCAATGCACCAAGATGAGTCTTTATGCTAAGATGAAATTTATAACAGTTCCTATGCAGAACTATTCTTCCACTACAGAACAGTGCATTTGTGCACATGTGTGACCACGATGTGGATGTGCTAAATACTTCTGTGTGTGTACATAGCCACAAAACCTGATAGAATGCTATTTAAAAGGATATATATAATAAAGTTGCATATGCTTTTCATATGCTCAGGACACATCTTCTGTGTGGATGGTAGTTAATTTTTAAAAATCAATTTACTACATTGGTTCCAGGGTTTTAACGCCTATATATTTTACCTGTTTAATTACAGAGATATTTGTATGATGAGAAAACTCGGAAAACTGAGAAAACTCGTTTTGCTTACCCCATAATCTGCAGTTTGCTTTGATGATAGTATGTCATAATTCCTCCTGGGTGCCAGTCAAAACAGAGCCCTGTACACAAGCAATTCTTGTTTGGATGGTTTTAGTATTTTGAAATGCGGAGTAAAATCCAAGACAGATTATTTCCCTTCCCATAGCTGAATAAGGATAAGGCTGAAAGTGTGAAGAATCTTCTGGCTTAAAGGAACAGAGGATTCAATCCCCTTAACAAAGTGCCACTGTGACGCTGCACTGCATCATGGATAGTTTGAAAGCAAAAGTAGGAGGAAAAAAAAACCTTAAAACCTTTCAAACTGTCAACTTTTGCTGAAAGAGGATTCTTCAAATGCTGTTATCAATGAAACTGGATGGAAAAATATTTCTTTAATATTTTGAAGCTTTTAGAGTTGGATTAAGTTTTAGAAGTAGTTGTATTTTCAGCAATATTTTCATATTTGTTTTTAACTACCTTACCCCTGTGACTTGAATTAATAGGGTACTGGGCTTGTCCCATTATCAGGAGTTTGTTGTGATGGTATTGTTGAACTACATGGCTTAAACTGCAGTTGTTTTACTTGTGTCACTCACTGATATCTTTCTGGCTAGAAGAAAGCTTCAATTTTTACTATTAAAACTTTTGAAACTTAGATGGCTGGAAAAACAAAGTACTCCATGAGATCATATATCACAAAACCTGACAGTCAGTACTGTGAAATGCCATTTCCATGACTTGTTCTTGACTCTGGTTCACTGCTGGAGCCGATTACTGCCCGTCTTTATGTTCCTGCTGGAGGATCAGTTGTCTGAGCCTGAGATTATGCTCATGTTTAAAGACAAGCTCAAGGTTTCTGATTTGGGATATCAATTAGAAGGCAAGGAGAAGGGAAACATGTTTAGCTGCAAAGCTGGAGGGCAGCCATTTGCTGTGAGTGTTCCCAAAGCAGCCCAGGGTCAGCACACGGGCTCCAGAGCAGGCTGGGGAAG